AATAATAATAATAATCCGAGCAGTTCCAATAGGGTCTTCGCACCCTTTTGGGTGCTCGGACCCTAAATATATCTATTATGTATATACTAGTGTGTTTATTTATCTGTATTCTTACTCACGAAATGCATTGTGGAGTGTTATCACTGTTTTATCATGTTTATCTGCCAACCAAACTGCCTGTATGAGATCCAAGTGAAGTGCTGATATTGCAGCACATAAAGATAACAGTCGAAAATGTCAGGGAACAGTAAAAAAATGACCCATCACCGTCTTATGGACCACCAGGGAGCGTCTTTAAATTGCTTGTTTCGTCCGACACAATAACGCACACTCTCCCAAATATAAACTTTACAATGACGTATAACAACCGCAAAGCAGGAAAGTGTCACAGTCGAGAGGCCTCCATTAATTATTCATCAAAAGACGTTATTTCCCAGCAGATGCTCGACTAGTCAGCGTCGGAAAAGCACACGTTTCTAATAACACTGGCTCTGAACTGCTCAGTCGACCCGTAACAGTGAGACGAGGAGCACAATGCCAGAAGCTGAGAGGGAAGCAGCTAAATTTAGTTTAACCGTCATTATTTTACATCTTACTGTTCATCAATGATGAATAAACTCTGACAGCATCAAAAGGTTATCAAGGAAGAGGTCGACCTTGGATATCTGAAGTGTCACCGAGCGTCCTTGTAGTTTAACGAGTCTGTTCTAACCACTTCATCAAAGACATGGTTGCAAGAGGGGAAAAAAAGTATTGATTTAGATAAACTTTGAGTTGTGTTAGATAATAATGTTGGTAATTGCACCAACTTGAAATTATGAGTCATTTAAACTCATATTTCTGCGTTAGTCGAAAACTGAATTTAAGTTGAGGTAACTTAGGCCACATTTACGTAGGAAAAACAGTGATATTTCAATACGTTTTGGCCTTCAGTTTACACGTAAATGAAGCTACAACGCACTTAAAACGATCATTTCTGAAATCTCCGGCCAAAGCGGAGACTTTGAAAAACTTCGTCTTTACGTTTGCTTGTAGACGGGAGGAGATGGAGTTTGACGTCATGGTATGCCACAAAAGCATCATCAGCGTCATATGTGTGCGACCATGTTTACAGTTTAGTTATTGTCATAATCATCAGAAATGGATGCTGTTAAAGCGCTGCTTGTTTTTACATTTGTGCTTTTGGCCTGTTTGCATTTACATTCAGCATTGTTGTATTATGTGGAGGAGCTTCTCTATTGGCTCTAACAAACGAACCTTACACCATTATCGTTGAAGTAACAGGAAGTAATTCATGCCATTAGTTGTTGTGTTTTTTCCAGGATTCTGATTGGCTAGCATGGCTTTATGTTTCTCATTACACTGCCCCCTATAGGTTTGGCAGCTCATAGCAGCTCTTAACGACGTATTTATACAGGTTTGTGTAAACAAAGATTTTTTGGAAAACGATCTGGTGTGAACAATGTTATTTTTGAAAATGTCGATCCGTTTTTGTACAAACCCGACTTTGTGTAAATGTGGCCTTAATTAAATTAGCCTGATAGCTGCATTTTTTTTCACCCTGAGGTCAGGAGTTCAAATCTACACCTGTCTCTTAACATGTCTGGACAATTTCAGATGGTTAAGGCTAACTCTGTCAACTCAAAATGGTTTATTGGTTAAACACAATTTCATCTCTACAGGAGATAAATGAAGGCATATCTTATCTTATCTTATCTCTACAGGTTGTCATAACTCAAAAAAACGATTCAAACTGTTGAACTCAGTCATTATTTTACAGAATGTACAACTAAATGCACTGGAATTCAGTTTGCTGTAAAGCTGAATGCTCTGGAAACAGCAGGTTATTATTGTTTTGTCATTAATTTTGACTGCAGAGGACAAAACAATTCCCTTTACTCAAAATAGTTTGTTGGTTGAACACAATTTCATCTCCAAAAAAAAAAATGATGCAAAACCCAATCATTAATTTTATGAATGTACAACTAAACGCTCTGGAAAAGTAGGTTAACATTGTTTTGTCACACTAAAATAACCCAGACACACTTATTGTGTGCTGCTAATCCTTGTGTTTGTGCAGATTTTGGTACTAAAAGGCCTTTATTTGGATCATACTCTGGGTCTAGCTATGAAGGTAAACACTGCAGTACAACCTCATACACAATACTATTTGTCCAGATAATGTGTTTCATCCACATATCTGCCATCTTTTTATTACAAACCCTTCGACTGTGTGACCAAATGGACCTTTCAGCATTAAATTCATCCCGTTGGAGGTAACTGCTGACCCACTATTACTCTTAAATCCACACCGGCCCACTCACTTATCTCAGTCAAGTCACAAGAGTTGTTTCAGAAGCAATTAAGATTTGAGATTAGGCCTCGCAGTGGTTGGTTTCTGTCCTCTCTTACATCTCCGATAACATCACCGTTATCGCCATCAGTGACTGTCTGACAAAATGTAGGTATAATTTATTACAGATAAAGCTGAGAATATCTGCCTTAGTGGGCATTTACCTTTTCCTGAGCTTCCTGATATTGTTAACTGGAGCTCACATCTACTACAGCAGCAGAAAAATCCCTAATTAATTCATTTCTATTCAACTTTGGCTCCACTAAAACTTTAATTAACATTTTATGTGTTTTATAGAGTCGGCCTGTGTAAGGAAATTGGGTATATTATAACATCAAATAATTTCTGAATAATTTAAATCTCCTTTTAGATGTAGAGAACACACTACTTCTTAAAATTTCAACTGCAGATGAATCATTTACAGCTCATGGTTTGCGAATATCAAGTTTCCTTATTAGATTTGCATCTTTTCATGCAATAAAAAACATCTTAAATCGCATTCTAAAGTGCAGGACTTCTTCTTTAGTCAAGCAAAAATGTAAGTGATATATCACCTTGATAACTTTTGCAGGAATAATAAACAAAATTAAAATGTAAGCTGGATTTCAGTTAAGTTTTTTATGCAAATTAACTTTTTTTTCTTGTTTTTATTGCACATACAGTTCATAATTATAAATCTATGGAATAAAATTATAATTTTGCAATTTCTTTGATGTGACACATTAGCCACTAACTTAGATTTGCAGTTTAGCATTTAATTTTTGAAATTATTACTATTCAACAGATCATAAACTGCTGTGCAGTATAACCAGTAAAATTAAAATGTTGATGCACACTTTACACAAATCACTAGTGCTAAATTGTATGATTTTATGCTTTTTAGACCAAAAAAAAAACTTTTTTCCTTGTATTTATTGCACATGAAAACATCAAATAATAATTTTGTAGTTTCTTGATACATCACATAGGCCACCAACTTTTATTTACAAATAATTTGGAATTTATGAATTTTTTATTATGCAACACAGAGGACATTTTTTAATCCAGTTGGACAGAAACCTCTTTGAGGACCTGCAAAACATAGTCAAAATATATTGTCAAGGAACCGTCTGGGTTTTTTAAAGATTATTATTGATTCATCTTTTGGATAAAGATGCTTCACTTTGTGCTTCCTGTGTATTCTTTTTAGATTCAAGCCACAAACTGTCAGGTTCGGAGCAGCAGAGGTTCGGTGGTACCTACCGATGGGTAAAACCAGAAAAAAAGGCAGCCAGCACAGAATGAAGCATCCGACCACGATGCCCAGAGTCTTGGCGGCCTTCTCCTCTCTGGAGAACTTCAGCAGCTTCGGCAGGGTGAAGGAGGAGCGTTTAGGTTCCGACGTCCCCTCGTCATCCTCCTGTTTCCTCGTCTGAGCCGAGTTTCCTCTGTGAATCCTCAGCATCACGCCCTCCACCTCCACACCTTCTCCGTCTCGGCCCTCCCTCAGGGTTTTGGTTTCTCTCTTGGCCACAGTGTAGACACGGCAGTACATGGCCAGGATGATGGCCAGCGGTATGTAGAAGGATCCCAACGCCGAGAACAAGGCGTACCCGGGCTCCTCTGTGATCCTGCACACCGTCTCGTCCTCTGGGTCGGGCTCCCTCCAGCCGAACAGAGGCCCCACCGATATGGCCGCCGAGACGCCCCAGAGAGCCGCCACCGCCGTCAGGCCTCGCCGCCCGGTCGCGATGGCCGGGTAGCGCAGGGGGTAGCTGACGGCCAGGTAGCGGTCGATGGAGATCACACAGAGGCTGAGGATGGAGGCGGTGCAGCAGAGAACGTCCAGGGCGGCCCAGACGCTGCAGAAGAACCGGCCGAACACCCACCGGCCCAGAGCCTCCGAGGTGGCGGAGAACGGCAGGACGGCGGAGCTGAGCAGCAGGTCGGCGGCCGCCAGGTTGGCGATGAAGTAGTGAGTCACAGAGCGCCAGTGGTGGTGGAACAACACCGACAGGATGACCAGGATGTTACCGAGAACCCCGAACACCACGAACACCAGCAGCACGATCCCCAAAACCACCGCCTTGGTCACGTCCACCTCCGGGTAGGCGGAGGAGCTGCAGTTGGGACATTGATCGGCCGCAGAAAAAACGCTCGTGTTCTCGACAAGAACCATCGTGATCCGTCGGGCACATTAAGCTGTTAAGTGTCTCGCAGATTGATGAACCTCGGGCCACATCTGTTCCTCAATTAGCTTCAACTCTCCGCCTTGTTCTGCTCCTCCCAGTGCAGAGAAGAAAGGCTTCTCCTGCTGCATATAGAGCTCCTGCAGTTAATTTGTAGACGCAGTGTCTCGTGCCAACGCTCCATTGATCACGTGGCGGAGGTTCCTTGGCAGGATGTCACAATTTGAAAGAGTGTCGCCGCCACACTTTGCCATATTTAGTCCAGGAAGGCTTAATAAAAGTGATGAATATTCATGTTTGAAGCTGCAGTGGCTGATGGATGTGGGATGTCATGTTTAGCCATGCTTTACTACAGGAAACCTGCTAAAAGAAGAAAAGAGATAAAGTATATTTAACACATTTGTAATTGTGGGCTTTTACAAACACCCAGAACAGGCTCATTACTCCTTAAGTGCTGCTCTTTCTTTGGCAGCGAAGGGACAAATCAAAACAGAGCACATGAGACAGAACACATTAAATGTAAATTGCTAAAAAAGCCAATTACACATCACCCAGTTATGATTAAAGGGTAAAAATATTACTTAACAGCCGCTTTTCAGGCGACATGCTCTTTTTATGTGCAAATTCTTCTCCCTTCATTACAGCGGCAGTGAAGAAAAACAGAGGCTTGAGTGAACTAAGGAGCATTTACAATTTCCTTTTCATGCCCCAAAACAGTGCAGCCTGCTCGTCCTTTCTGTTGTTTTTTTCTTTGCTTCTGCAAGTAAGGAATCAAATGACAACCGTAAAATATCCCATTAGTAACATTTGATTTCGCTTTAACCTTTCTTGAACCGGGCAGAATATATATCTTATAGACATAATCAAAAACAATAGAACACAAGGACACCACAGCTGAAAAGAAATGACGCCAAAGGGCAAAAAGAAAAAATACATTTGTGCCATTATGGGAAATTCAGCCAAGCGTTCAGAGAGTACAAAGACAAATGAAAGCAGAGATGATTTTCTTTTTAAAGGAAGACATTAAGCATGTGATGGCCTCCTTGAAGGTCTTGTGTCTGCAAGCTGCTCTTTAACTCATGCGGCGGATGACAGGCCCAGGATTGAACCTTGAGGAGGTCACTATAAACCCCAGCAGCTGATATTCCCGCTCTCGCTGTACGTGTCTGAGACGGGAGGATGTCACCGGGCGAGATAAGCGGCGGCGAGGATGAAAAAAAAAAAAACAAAAAACACCACGAGAAAAACCCGGAGAGAGAACAGACACACGCGTCACACACGCACACACAAGAAAAAACGCGGGGTTTTTTTTTTTCCTTCTTGCTAGATGCGCAGGCGGAACGAAATTCATCCAAATAAACAAGCGATGTTCGGATTTTTCAGTGGCCAGAGGGGGAATCGAAGATGAAAAAAAAAAGGCGGGAGAGCGGATATCTCGGATTGTTTCGGCAAGAATAACTTAAACGGCGGCGATATTTGGAATGCGTTTTGGCTTGTAATGAGATTTCACGGTGTGTTCAAGTGCCTGCGAAAGAGAGATTAACCTCGTCTTTAACAACTTCTCCTGCTCCTCAGCCCACCGGTGTTTCAGGACTGTGAGAAGAGCCAAGTGGGAAATATATTTACATCGACCCGAGGCGGTAGAAACAATTCACCATAGGTAGAACAAGATAACTGATATATATGTATAATAGGGATCGACCAATGAGGGATTCTTTTAGGGCCGATTAGCGGTACTCAAGAAAGGCCGAGAACCAATATTTGGAGGCAGTATACATTAAATGTAATGTTTAAACAGGATGTGAAAGCAGAGAAGCTGTCATTCATAACTAGGCTTCTTCATTAATAAGGGTGACTGTAACTGAATATGTAAAACAGAAATAAAGGTGATTAAATTAGGACACTTTACTCCGTTTACGGTGGATCGACTGCAATTGATGCTGCAGTTACGTCCGCTGTTCTTCTTTATTTTATTAATCTTTTGCTGTTCTATCATTTTTATCACCCACGAAGGTTGAAATCCATCCATCCATCCATTATCTATACACCTCTTCATCCTCACTGGGGTCGCGGGGGGCTGGAGTCTATCCCAGCTGACTTAGGGCGAAGGCAGGGGACACCCTGGACAGGTCACCAGTCCATCACAGGGCCACACTTAGAGACAACCAAGCACACTCACATTCACACCTACGGACAATTTAGAATCAGGTTGAAATCTTCAAATCTTGTTTTCCAGACTCAGTTTCAGGGTACTTTGTGGCTGCCACTAGCCGCTCGCATAGCCTTAGTCACTGTGAGAGGAGCTAATTTCCTGATTTCTTGTCTTGAGAAACATTTCTGAGACCATCCATCCATCATCTATACACTGCTTAATCCTCACTAGGGTCAAGGGGGGCTGGATTCTATCCCAGCTGACTCAGGGTGAAGGCAGGGGACACCCTGGACAGGTCACCAGTCTATCACAGGGCTACACTTAGAGACAGACAACCAAGCACACTCACATTCACACCTACGGACAATTTAGAATCACCAATTAACCTCAACATGTTTTTGAACTGTATGGGAAGAAGCTGGAGAACCTGGAGAGAACCCACGCTGCCCAGGGAGAACATGCAAACTCCACACAGAAAGATCCCGGGTGTCCTCACCAGGACGTGAACTGGCGACCTTCATGCTGAGGCAATGGTACTAACACTGGGCCACCTTGCAGCCCCCATTTCTGAGACCACAGAGTACAAACAAGAATAAAAATACAGACACCCATAATCTGAAAAATGCCAAATATCGGCCACAAAAATTGGCCAGGCTCATAATCGTCTCTAGTCTAGGGCTGGTCTGAATAGCAATTTCTGTTCTTAGGATATTCGGCCCCAGTTAATGACGAATATCCCGGTGGCGGGTGGGTATTTGTTCTGGGGGGAGGCAGGCTCCTACGGGTTAGAAGTGGGCGGGACGCACAGGCAGCATTTGGCTACAAAGACCAGTTTAGGTAAGCGGTCATGGCACTGTTTTCATGGCGGCAGCAGGGGTGGGGGGGTGGTTGCCGCTGCTGAGCATTCGGTCCGAATGCGTGCGGACGTTTGCGCCATCAGTGGTCACCGTACTGTATCCACCATCAGTGGTCACTGTACTCTATCCACCATCAGTGTTGGTGGTGTTGGTAGTGGTGGTGGCGGTGGCGGGGGATATTCGGAGATCAAAATTGGTATCCCGATTCCAGCACAGCGAACGAATAGTCAGCTATTTGGCTATTCGGGTCCAGCCCTACTCTATTCAGCAGCCCTGTGTTGCATTTCTGGAGGCCGTGCAACTTGGATTTAAAGGGAAATATCCTGGAGTTAAAAACCAGAGCAGCAGGTCTTTGGACAGGCAACACATTCACGCCCTGAAGCTTCCTGGCTGACACGCATTGGATTTTTATTTGCATGCGTCGTGGCTTAATCTCCAAAGTCAAAACACTTGTGCGTGTATTTGCACTTCATGTTTCATTCATGCATGAACGCCGACGGGAAGCAGTCAAGGTGATGGCGCCGCAGTGACAAAAATGATAAAGTGGCGTAGGATGCGTGAAATGACCTTTTCAGTCGGCTCCATTATTGACTGCCTTCCCACCCCATCAAAACCCCGTCTTGGGAGTTTTTTTTCCTCGTCTTTTATTCATAGTTTTTTTTTTTTTTTTGTAACCTCGAGGAAATTATCAGACTAAATGCAAATGTTCTCGAGCCGCAAAACTGAAGCGAGATAATGTGACTCCTGCGCTTAAAAAAAAAGAAAAAAGTCCTAACTAATAGGAAAAACAGTTTATTATAAGTTGATTTAAGTAATTTATGAAGCAAAATCCCAATTATTTCCTTATTCCAGCTTCTCAAATGTGAGAATTTGCTACTTTTCTGCTCAATTTTTGGTTTTCTGACATCCAATAAACCACCAAAAGCAGCGTAGAGATTAAGAGTTGCAGGCCTGAGGGCATTTTCCCTTCAGTTGACCAGCAGCCAGTCCAAACATCGCCTCCGTCCCTCGAGCTCTGAGAGATAAGATTTGATTAAACGCTATCAGCGAACATCATTACGCTCTAATTTGCATCTGAAATCCAAGGGTGGCCCTGCTCAGGTTATTGCATTAGTGGGATCTCATGGAAAAGCTTTTGCCCTTGAAGAAACTTTCCTTTCGCGAGCTGAGTGTCCATTATAAAACCAGAACCAAAAAAAAAAAAACAACACACACACGTCGGACCAATTAAATCTGGGATTGGAATCATAATTAGGGTTTTGTTATTCGTAGAGAGAACGTTAGCGAATATATTAGCCGGCTTAATGTAGCCTGACCGTGGGCACATTCAATCAGGGTGGCAGCTCATAGCGTGGGACAGCATTATCATCACAAGGACAGTGTTAACCAGACTTCCTGGTGTTTGTTTGCAGCTTGTGTGTTTGTGTTTGCTGCCGCATAAGGAAACACATTTGCATTGTTTTAGACAGTTAGTAGGAACTGCCACTCACTAATCATGAAGAAATGAAGGTTGCCTGACCTGCTCGGCTGCAAAGAAACTCATTTATTAGTCTCTTGCATGTTCTGCACTGCGTTCGTTCTGGCTCGTCCATCGACTGCATATGAAATGAGCTGATTTAACATTTCATCAATGACAAAACGCCCGTCACAGGTTCCCATAAGGGCCCAGGAGGATAGGCTCATATGGCTCATTTTGGCTAATGAGCAGCCACAAAAAGTGCCATCCTGCAGAAGATGCTCATGTCAAAAACTGCAAAAATCACATTTTTTAGTTAAAAATTCTAAACATTTCTCACTAAAATTGTGGATTGCCCCTCAGTTTGCGACACCACATGCATCTGTTGGAGCCCGGCGTCCTCTCCTCGTAGGCCACTGCAGACTTCATACATCATTTGTTTCTACAAACACTGTACAGTGTGTGTCAGGTCTCTGGAGGAGGAGCACTAGCGTGATGAATTGCTGCACATTTGAAATCCATTTC